CCACCCCCAACTTACCTTATCATCTAGATATCCTAATAATTTTGAAATTGGATCTTAAATATTAGGTGTCAAAGAAATGTTGTCAGATTGGTCAGTAAATTCCCCTATGGCTTTAATTACTGAATTAGTTTTCTTATTGAGAATGCAGAAAAAAGGTTTTATTTATTATGTTGTTACAAATCACTTATATTTAAGATTTTTTTCTAAATGCAATCGAAATACAACAAAGAATAAAACAAAATTATTTTATTATGCAGGTGCTGATATAGCCAATATATGTAATGAAGCTGCCCTTCATGCTGCACGGAACAAAGACAAGGAGGTCAACCCCAGGGATTTTGAGTATGCAGTGGAAAGAACTGTAGCTGGTATGCACATTGTGACGACTTCTTAATGGATTGGCTCTTTTTTCCTCTGTCATGCAGGAGTTTAACATGCACACTTCAATATTTGTGGCCATTAAAAAATAACTTTTTATAGTGCTTTTCTTATTTAAAGTAAAAATCATTACCTCATTGAATGACATGCTGAATCTCAGATTGATGTCTTTGAGTGTTCTGGTGCCAAGTGGCTGATTTTATAAAATACCATTCCACCGAAAAATTGGGCCAAACGCAAAAACCACTTTGACAATATTAGTCAATTTTTCCGGAGATGAATCAACAAAGGCCAGGTAATTAATTTATTGATTGATCGATTGAATGATATTTATTATAAGGAAGAAAGGGCTGTTAGACTAAGACCTAGAAGTTGCCTTATTGCAGTAGACTATACAGAATTAAATCCTATTTGAAGAAGACCATTACTTTGATCCAAGGTCAGAAGTTTTTTGTGAAGCCAAATTTGGTGGTGGTAATGCATATGCATATGCATTCATTGTCGAAGCAAAGTTCTAAACCTGTTTGTTGTATTTGTAGGAGTGGCAAAGAAGAGTAGTCTTCTCTCGCCTCAAGAAAAAAAGGTCATCGCTTATCACGAGTCTGGACATGCCCTGACTGGCTGGCTGCTGAAAAACACACATGCTTTGCTCAGGGTAGGAAACCTCTATATAAACATGATTATAATTTATATTATTAATTATATTATTAATTTAGAATGTTAATGATATTAAATGGGTAGACAAAACTGGTAGGAAAACAAATATAAGGGAATTGTGTTTTGCGAGAGGAAGGAAGTTCTTGTTCAGCGAGAGTTAAGGCAAAGAAGGTAAATGTATCTTCCTTTATACAAATATTTGCTATAACTGCTGAGATTGCATTCCAATTTGCTGTGTTACTAGTTCAAATGAAATACAAAGAATGGTGTTGGATCAAAGAAGTGATAAACTGAGCACTGAAATAACTTTGTTTTCGTCCAGGTTTCCATAAAACCGCGGGTTGGAGCCACCCTGGGGTTTGCCCAGTATCTGCCGAAGGAGCACAAGCTGTACTCTCGCGAGGAGCTCTTTGAAAACATGTGCATGGCCCTTGGTGGCAGGGTTTCAGAGTCTATCACTTTCAACAAAGTTACGACAGGTATACTAGTGCTGTTCACTTTGTTTCACACCATGTTGGGTCGGCATGTTACACACACACACACACACACACACACACACACACACCTGTATTCAATACATAACGTGTTGCAAAAAAGTAAATAAACCTCAGTTATTATAATAACTACTCTCGTGCCTCATGCTGAGATAGATGCATTTTGACTGAAGAAAAACAGAACTTGATTTTTTTTTATTATTTATTTATTTTATTGTAAAATGTGTAATTATGCCGTATTGTAAAATGTGTAATTATGCTATCATTCAACCATCCTTTGGAATTCAGTAGCAGGATGATATAAAACACTCTCTTTATAAATGATTTTGTGTTGATATTTTCTCCACATTGTTTTGCTTTTTATGATCAGGTGCTGAAAATGACTTGAAAAAGGTTTCAGAACTAGCCTACAATATGATCCGCAAGTATGGTATGGGAGAATCCATTGGCTTGATTTCCTTCGAGATGGAAGGCTCGGACTCCCAAATGATTACCAAACCTTATAGCAATAAGATGGCCACCATGATAGATGAGGTTATTATCTTTAGTATTTAATAATACATGATGATATAATTGTAGTCTAGTTTTTTTCTGTTGCGCTATTACTTGTCAAACTATTATTTCTTGAGCACTAATTGCAACACACACACAAATATTCACAGGTGCGATAAGATGAAATTTTGCATATTTTACTTACACCATTTTTTTTTTTTTTTTTTTGCATTTTGCATTTTAAATTGAACAGAATGGCACAATGGCAAAGAATGATTGAGCCCATTTGTTTTGTAAATAAGTTCATGGATTATGGCAAATATAAAAGACTTTTTAAGCCTTCTGCATGTTTATAAGGGTGCTTAATATGGAACAGCTGTAGATCAAGTTAAAAAATAATGAAGAAATTTTAATTTTGCTTTTGATTTTCAATTAATTATAGGAAGCTAGAAAGATGGTGGCAGAAGCCTATAAAACCACAGAAAAAATGCTCCTTGATAACAGAGAGAAGTTAAAATTGGTAAGTCATAGAATTGCTTGATTAGTCAGAAGGATATTTTACTGCATGTTGACAGATTGTTTCATTTTGCACGATTTGAGAACATGAAAAGAAAAAGAAGTGGATTAATATATTTTTGGGCAATTATCTTAAAACATTTATGATGTAGTATTTATTATTATTTATGCCTTTTTCACTAATTTTCATTTTCATTCTCATCCCAGTAAAGTACACCATTTGTGAACTATAACATTGGCAATTCTATTTATGCCAAAAAGCTAATTTGTTTCCTTCGATTTTTTCAGCTTGCTGAGACCCTTTTGAAACAAGAATCACTGACGTATGAACAAGTGAAAGATCTGATAGGTCCCCCACCGTATGGAGAGAAGCAGACAATTTCCATTGCTGATGACCTTGACATTGAACCCCCAGGACCCCCTCAAAATGCACCTTCGCAACCAGAACCTTAATTGGGGTTGCCGAGATGACTTTCAGAAGCTAACTGAATTCTTCATCCTGTGGCAAAAATTATGAAAAGACCCGAGGAGTCATCTGGTACAATTTCACCTTCAGACTTTTTAAAAGTTGGTTAATAATTTTGTATGCTGAGACAGAATTATAAACAATGAATTCAGCAGTTAATTGGGGAGGGGCAGGAAACAGTTTATAATTGAAATGAGGAGAGCATAAATGTGTATTAAGTAAGAGACATAAATGTACAATACCAAGCAGCTGCAAGTTGTGTTGAATGCAAATTAGTTTTAATAAAAACAAAAAAAGCTAAATTTGGTATTTTCTTTTGCTTTTTATTCCCCAAGTATCAGTTTTTTCATATTTGGCCATAATTTGGGACTTCCTGCAGTTATGTGCTATACATGAATAAATCTCTGACAATCCAAATCCGGGAAATATGGGAAAAAATTAATATACAGTTATTAAGGCACTAAAATTTTGATATGGCACAAACAAAAATATTTAGTACACAGTCTGCGAAATCTGGTTGCACATGGAATTATATACATGTACCAGTGACACTGAGAAATGGAATGTCTTGAGTGTATATGTATATTAACAGTCAATATAATATCTTATCAAAATATGATTAATACACTAAGTATTATAATATATGATGTTAAGTTCCCCACCCTGAGAAGAAAAAAGACATGCCTCTTTACAAAATACATTTAAAAAGTATGTACCACTCAGTGGAAAAAATAGCAGTAAACTGTAAAACTGCACCTTCTTCAAAAATGTATAAATGTTTGTTCTGCAAATAATGCATAATCGGCTGTTAAAAGAAAATGGTATATAGACCTTCAGATGCATATAAAACTGAACAAATTTGTTCATAAAGAACAATGAATTACTACATTCATGTTGGTAAATGTTCTCCATGCCTCCAGTTTCTCACACTTAACATTCATGTCCAGCATGTTTGTCTGAAAAACCAAGTTTCAACATGAATATGTTTACCGTTACATCAATTTCCTATTTCATTAAAAAAATTGAAAATTTTGACAATATGCACTCATGCCAAAATAAAAAAGTTTTCATTTTTGACTTTCAGCAAAACTGACCTTTGAACTACAAGGCAAACTGCATCTCATAACTTATATTTAAAGCTTTTAATAGCAGAAATGAAAAAAATTAACCATTTTTTCCCTAAAAATTGATGTCAAAAAACCTATTGCTCAATCTTTGTTTACTCAAAGAATTTTTGTCAGGTATGCCTTGGCATTTATGAGAAAACTGGCAAAATTTCAGAAAAAAAATCCATTTCTTGGATATATGAGCATCTACATAACCACTTCAAATAGTAAAAAACAATTGCTCCAGCTTTTCTTCTTTTAACATGAAAGTTGCCCTCCTTAATTGGTGCAAACAAAAAATCAGTATATCACTTGGCTCGTTTCAGCATCAAATACTGTGCTGAAATTGCCAAATCCAACTTGGTGACCAAATGAACTGTTTTCACTGCATGCTTCCTCTGAACTTCCAACCACCTGGCTTAAGTCTCCCCTATGTTCCATCACATTGACAACACCAGTATCAACAGGTCCAAATTGCCTTAACACTGTGTTGTAGGAAGGCGGCAGAGGTGGAGGGTGTATGACAGCAGCTGGGTTTGAACCTGGGTTTATGCTCACGGCAGGCGGGTGCACTCCTGTGGAAAGTGGATGAGTATGTGGGTGCACTCCTGTGGAAAGTGGGTGAGTATGTGGGTGCACTCCTGTGGAAAGTGGGTGAGTATGTGGGTGCATACCTGCTGCATCTGGGTGAGAACTTATTGCAGGCACATGTCTGCCTGGAATGTGTGGAAGCTGTGAATGGTGCGACTGCGAGGCAAAGAGGTCCTCGTAGGCTGGAGGGGCGTCTAACTCCAGTGACTGGTTAATCCTTGAATAATCAGTGGTGATTTCAAATATATTTCCTCTGAAACTGTTCAGCAGTGGGGATGCGGATACCTGATCTGACAAACCTATTCGGTCTGGAAGAATTTGGAATTGGTTATGATGGTTTAAAAGCAAAGCACCGTAATTATTGGCCAGTGCATTGTTTGTTCTGTATGCTCTATTCTCAATCATTTCCGGATATATTTCCCATAAAGGTGTTCTCCTTCTTGTATTAGACAATGGAACACGGTTCCTTTCTAAAATGCCTCGATCTCCTGCAGGAGAGTTGGCCTCAATGGGATTATTTGCATCACCATGTTGGGCCAAAGCTATTGGATAATGCAAGTCATTTTGATTCTCCAAAAGGGAAAATGCAGCAGATTCTTCCCCGTAACACCTTTGCTGTGAAACTTGGTGGTTATAGTGTGAATGTGCACTTGCTTCAGGGTTGTTCAGTGAATACCCATGGTCATCCTGTGAATTGCCCAGGTTCAGGTCTCTGTTGTTTTTATTCTTATTCTGGATTGCCAAATTCCGTAGGAATCCAACAGCATGAGGATTAACAAGGTACACGTTTCTTTCCTCCTTCTCATCCTCCTCCTCAACTACTTCTTCCTCCTCCTCACTATAGAGAGGCGACACCCTGACCACTATGTTATTATTGCTGTTGTCAGCGCCACTGTCCCTGAACAAAGGATAATTAGGTGACCATGCTCGAATGCGAAGCTGAGCGTGAAGGAGTTCTCTGGCAGAGTTTGTGTATGAAGCTGAAGAATTGCTATTTTGATTACACTCTGTGGATTTAACATTCCCCATCTAGTCTTTGGTCAGTAGAAGAACACTGTATGTGTGCTGATAAGCAATATGAAATCTGAAATGTAGGGTAGAAATTCTACTGTAAATTTCTTGCAACCTGCCAATAAAATATAAGTTATCATACCTTTGCCTTTGTTTTTTTAGTATACATAAGGTACATGAAAAAGCAAGAGTATGATTGTAGACCAACAAGTGCCACTTGTTATATAATCCAAAATATTTAAATCAACTGTCGCATCATCTACACCAGGAATTGATCCTTGATTTACATTGTCTGACAAGAATCTGGGTTACAAAGACATCAGTTGATATCGTTCAATTTCACAACATTTCCTTCTTTTTTATATTTTGGAGATATATCACAATGCGCCAGGGGTGTCACAGCAGCCATTGTCCAGCTGCAGTACATGCTGACAAAGCTGTGAATTGGCCTGCTCACAGGTCACATATATGATATTATATGTCATTTAATTTTAGTGCTGTGTAATTTATACCATTTAAAAGTTCAGGAAATTTGCAATCTAATGGAAAAAACATGAAAACTGAATGATGCAAAGTATAGTTAATTTGATGCCCTGGTCAGTAGTCACACATTTTTGGCTGAAAAGTGAGAACACTTTGGGCATAATATAGCACTAAGCAGTTAAAAAAACTTCTAAATCTTTGTTGCTTGTAGGAATATTTTAAAAATTCCAGAAGAATTGCAATCTATTTTGCATTACCTATTGGTAGATATAAATATTATATTTTTCAGGTCAGTTTGAATTTTTTCTGTCATAAACCATCCATCATCATCATCAGTGAATAATTTTTGTATTTTGATCAAAAGTACAGTAAAAGCAAGACATGCGTACAGTGTATGTCAAATTCTATGCATAATGACCGTCACAACAGCATAATCGATAACAATTTAGTCAAATTACAACATTTGCCAAACTTTTCTTTCGCAACATTTCACACATTAACTTGATGGAATGATGGCACGTTTTGAGATAATCAACAACAACCATAGCGTCACTGTTTAATTGTAATAATAACTCTTAAAATGGATTAATCTTGTTAAGTGTACAATAAAACGTACCTTGAACTTGTTGAATGAACGGGACATAACGTCTTATACGTGTCACATCCTGAAACTTTACATAAACTTTCTTATTTTTGTTTCCTGTAGCTCTAATGAAGCATCGGCGTCAAGTGTTTTTCATTTTTTGTACGCATGCGCACTAGAAGCAGCGGTATCTTTGAGATGAAGGAACGTAAACAAAAAATATCACCCAAAGATGACTTCTTTTGGCATTGATGTAGACTCTGAAGAATTATGTATGATAGACTCAGGACTTCAAAGTTTAAGCGACGTTCCCATAAGGCAATATAATAACCTGAAGGTATTTTAAGAGATCATATTTTACCTGACTTTAGACGCACTACATTGTTGCATAGAGGTAGAGAAAAGTCTGTACTGTGTAGGCTTTAACTCGAGTTGTTAACACCAAACAAAGTTTGCTCTTAATTTTGTTTTATTTTTTGCGGGCCAACTAAACATACAAGCATAATTATAGTAGACAAGGTTATGTGGAAATTTTATGTACACGTCCCATTTATTTTGTGTACTTCAGAAGTTCAGTACAGTATGTACCCCAAATTTTTTGTCTCAGTTTCCATGCAGTCTCACATAATATGCAGTGGAACCATGTGGTTAAGGCCTCATAACATTCTGTGTTAGAAACTCCTGAGGCTACATGAGGTCTCACTGTTATCAAAAAACCAGCATAGCATATAAGGCTGAAAACTGAGGCAACCCTTAATTACAAATCTGGTGTGTTTCTGATCAGTTATGTGGTGACTTTCACCACTGTCTTTTCTATTGGATATTCAAACAAGCCCTAACAAATATGTTCTATTGGATCCTATAAAATCCTGTAGGGTTCTATGGGAAATTCGCCCATTTTTCTATAGAATAATATAGGATCCTATAGGACTTATTTGAAGGGAGGTATTAGCTATCAGGGTTGTGATGCCATATGTGTCTTTACTTTGAAATTTGCTTGCTAACACACACATATCTAGGTTTCAGAAGACCTTTTTTGGCTAATGACTAATGCAGTGTTTTATACTACAGGTGCTGAATCTTCATTGCAACTTTCTTAGAAGGATCGAGAACCTGCAGCTGAGGAGCTTACTCCATTTAGACCTGTCATCCAATCAGATTGAAAGAATTGAAGGACTCGATAGCTTATCAAACCTCAGAACGCTGAATTTAGCTTGTAATCAAATCACCACTGTGCAGGGATTAGATGGTCTAAGGTTTGGAAGGAGGATTGATTCTTTTTATGCACAGACACAGTTGTGTCTGTTTTATATAACTGTCACCTGTGTCTGTTGTCGCCGTCATCGCAGTGCACTTTCAGTGATAGCACGCTCCACCAATGCTCGGTTCATATGTACCTTTTTAAAAGCATAATGTATTATTGCATCTGAATTGACAGTTACCTATTTTGATTAACATTTTTTTCTGCTTTTTTGTCTGTACATTTGACAGCTTTGCAGTCTTGTTTATCTTGAGGGTAAATTGAAAGTATTTTTATGTCCAAAGAATGTTTTTGCCAGTAATATGCAACTCCATATTGAAGCTACAATGTTTTATTTTATTAATGAATAAGAATTTAATAAAACCTTTATAATCTTGTTGAAACATTTAGGTTAAATTGACCCCTTCTGTTCTTTCACTTTCAGGGCATTGGTGAAGCTTAATCTTTCCTACAATCACATCACAGATATATCAGGTTTCCACAGACTCCAGGGGAGAGACTACAAGCTTTCTTATGTGGAACTACAAGGGAACCGCATACAGTCAGTACAGCATGTGATAGCCAGTCTGCGAGGTTGCCTGAACCTGAGGAGGCTCACCCTGGCACAAGATGGAAGTGATAACCCAGTGTGCCAGATCCCGGGTACATTTGTATTTTGTTTTAAAATTATTTTTGATTTATTTTTGAAAAGGAACATAATTTTTGAGACCTGATGCTTTTTCAGTTTTGCGAGTTCATTGGTGCCCAGTAACACTAATTTGCTTCTTTGACAGTTAGATAACAGTGTTCCAGGAGCATTGGTGATAATTTGTACCACCAGCGTTAGCGCTGGCGGTACACATGGTTTTAGTCCCGTCCGGTCCGTTCCGCCGGCTCCTGCGGCTCTGCCGGCTCCGCCGCCATGTTACCGTTACCGCTTCTCCTCCTGGACGGTAAGGGCCCCCATACCCATCTCTTGGATTTAGGTCATCTATAATCTCAACTCGTTCCACGTAAAATTTGGGCTTTGTCGGTATTGGGGTCTAGGTGTGGCACTCATTGCAATGCACCCTTGTCCAAAAATGGCAAAATTAAATGCTAATTATCTACCCTACGGAAGGAATTATGGGAAAAATTTCTACAGACGGCTTTCCAAAAGTCATATGTGTAGATTTCAAATATGCCCTTGGATTTGACCTTTGACCTTTATTTCAAGGTCNTCTGATCCTCTAGTTATTTTTTGTCATTGTTCAGAATTTTTCAACATACAACAGTTTTGAAAATGTTTTTTGATATATATATTTAATGTTACCTGAGTTACCTAACCTATGCGTGCATGGGAGGTGGGGATCCATTGTTGAGCATGCGCCATATTTGATCTGCGGACTAGTTAGTCTGCAGATCTAATATGGCTGTGAATGCGACCTTTGAATTAACAGCAAGGTCATGGATGTATTATGTTTAAAGGGATAATAACTCTTCGTTTTGGCCAAAAAATGAATTTTCCTGGAGTAAACAACAATTTTTCCATACTTACAATGGTTAATGAATCCATTTTTACAATCAAAGTTAGTCCCTGGTTTTTTTTTTCTAAAAAGTTTGGTTTTTTGTTTAAATCTCTTAAGAGATTATAACAGAGTATAGCCATCAGTGGAGGTCACGTGGTCTGAAGACAAGCTCAGATATCAAAATAATAGCTATAACTGTCCTTTTTGTGGTAAAACAGAATATATATTTTATTTCTATGAGTTGTTCACAATGTTTTTATTGTGAAATATAGATGTCATAGGAAGAGTTATTATCCCTTTAAAGACACACATGGGCACAAGAGCAATGGCAGAGATTGGAAAAATTGAGACCCCAACATGGACAAATTTATAGCAGTGGGAGTGATGAGTATAATTATTATATTTTATAAGGTCTTTTCTTTTTATATTTTCCTGCAGGTTCTTGGAGCAGCATCATGAGTGCAGTTCCACAGTTACAGATACTGGATGGAGTTAACAGAGATGGCACCCCAGTGCAGACCGCTGATATACTGGCAGACATTCCTGGTAGGTTTTTTTAAAAACATATTTGTTAGTCCATGAAAATTATATAATAGTATGTACATGTAAAGATGGCAACTCACTTTAAGCATTGTATGCTCATCTTAAAAGAAGCTAAAAATATAACCAATTTTTGATAGATCTTGTAGATATAGAAAAATATTTCTTACTGGAATAAATTTTGTGCATTTTTTTCAGTTATCAGATATAAAGTTAATTGTACCATATTGGGATTTTATAGCAACATGAATTCTATAAGTTGCTTCTCTTCTGTTATTTTAGGACTGGATCAATACATGGAGTTTTTGCTGCCATCAAGCAGCAATTCTGTAAGTGCATAATGGGGGATGGAGGAATAGGAAAAATAATATTATTGTTACAAGTTTTAAACATGTCATAAAAATGCTATTGTGTTATTAGTTATAAAATTAGATAAGCTTAACTCTTTGTGTTGATAGGGAAAACAGCTGAATGATGAAAGCTACATGAAATCTGTTTACTGGTCCTTAAAATTTAAAACGTAGAGATTCTTCATTTGAATCTGAAAAGGTCATGAAATGGGTGAAACTGTTGACAGACACCGTTTTATTTTTAAGGACATGGATCCTGTTGCACTAGCTACTCCACACATTGATGAAGCTCTAGAGAAGTTCAAAGAGAGGGCAGTCATGTCCACTACTGAGGTCAGCACCACCAGCACCACCACTGACCAGGAGACTGCAGAGAGAGAGAGGCAGCCGGGAAGGTTACCCAGTGGAAACAGGGTAAGATCCCATTCCCACAGATTTCAGATCAATCTATCCCTGTGGGGAAGCTCTCTAGATTACTGTCAGCCGAGCGGGCACGACAGTTAATTACCCCCTTACAGCTTTAAGGAGGCGGGGCAGATGCTTTAGCCGACTAAGCTGACTGCAATTTAGCATGAACCCCCAGGGAGTTAGGTTGATCCGGATGGATCGATCTAAATCTCTGGGAATGAACTCTAACACCCCATTTCCATAGATTAGATCGACCTACTTTAGATCGACCTAACTCCCTGGGGGTTCACGCTAAATAGCTGTCAGCCGAGCGGACACGAAAGTTAATTATCCCCTTACAGCTTGTAGTAGGCGGGACGGACATTTAAGAGGGATTATCTGAAAGTAATCTAGTGAGACTCCCCGCGGGGATAGATTGACCTAAAATCTATGGGAATAGAGCCTAAGAGAAGTTTTTGAGGTAGAATACCACAGGGAGAGAGGCAGCTAAGAAGTTATACCAGCAAAAACAAGATAAGCTCTGAGAAAAAGTAGTCTGCTTCTTTTGTCAGATGTTGACTTTTTTCTCATTCATCTATAAATTTTTTTATCTGGTTTGTTGCTTGAACCAGTTCAGTCTTGGAACAGATGTTTTCTGTCACTAGACAATCAAATTTATTGGTCAATGAGTTTATATGTGAAGCTCAGCAGTGTATTTAGCTTCTACTGAATAATGTTTTACATTTATAGCTTATCTGTCAGATTTCAGCTATGTAGAGAAGGGTCTGCAAATAACCTTATATGTACTGCTCAATTACATAGAGTTTTATTTTATTATTATGATTGTTTAGATTAAACTGAGAACATCAACTGTATTATTTGTACTATTACCAGTCGAAGTTAGTACTTTGTGCTACAGTGTGAATTATACAGCATTTTCTACAGCCTGTTCCAGTTCTATCTATCAAGTTAATGCAAACTAGTCTGTGGCTCATTTCTGTATATTTATCAGCCTTAACATATCCAATTTGCCATTTTACCTTTCTCAGAGTTAAATTTTAATCGGAGGTATTGCTTCTTTCTAGAGTCCCATAGGGTCCCGGCTGTCCATTGATCATGAGCTGAGACTGGAGAAGTTAGAACACCAGCTAGCACAGGTGTTATATGGAGGAAAGGTAGGCTGAGAAACTGAACAAATCGCTTTATTTTTCATTTTTGATCAGTGACTGCTTTTTTTTTTGTCTGAAAAAAATGTTAAATGGTAGCTTGTCAAATGATTGCAAAAAAGGATCTTGGCAACTATTTTTTAAAACAGATAAGCAAAATCTTGTCATTAAATTATATTTAAATACAGTTTTCAAACAAAACAGAATTTCATTTGTTTACTTTAAAAATTCATGAAACTGCACAGGATCTTTTTCAGAAATGAAAGGTTAATTGTGATATTTTATATAAAAATATTTTATTATCACTATCTAAGCATTTTTGAAAAGAGACAAAGTAATGAGATTATATCTTTATTTAAGTCAACTAGGTCACCAAAGGTCACTTCACCAAGGGCACCCAAGGTCAGTCCATTAAGGTCAAGGTCACCACAAGGTGGAAGTAAGACAACTAGACTGGTAGCAAAGAGAGGTGTGTCTGAAAGGAGAGGGAGCTAACCTTCTGTGTGATTAACAATCTTAAATACCAAGAAACTGAGTGTAGCATACAATTGTGACCATCAAACCTAGATTAATATATATATTTTTTAATTTGGTTTATGCTGTAGCAAAAAAGGGGAAAGAGTAATTGTTGTGTGGTTTTGCTGTCCTTTGAGCTCTCCTTGCAAAAGTCTGGACAACAGCATGTGACAGAATATCACATCAAATTGAACTGAAATCAGTTAATTTGTTTGTGTCCGGTTGCTGATGATTTTTGATGAAGTGCCTAAAATTGATAAAGTTTGAATGAGCAGGGTTTTAAAAGGAATGTATGTAATCTTACAGATGTTGACCAAACAGACGAGAGTGACAGTGAGGGCCCCAAGGCTGCAGGCAAGTCTCGCAGGTCAAGGAAGACTAAGATTCCAAGTTATCAGCGTGCCACGGTGGCCAGCAGGGAGAGGGAGAGAAAATCACAGTCATCAGGGGTCTCCTCTAGGTAACACAGGTCGTTCAACCTCCCTGTTAAAGAACATGGACTTGAAATATCTTACGCATTTTGTTCACCTTTCGAAGTCATATTTATATATATATATCTAAAAAGGAAATTTATTTGGTTTATTTTGGTATTGCATTCTGAAAATATCATTATGTTAAAGTAAACCAGCCATGTTTATGGATGTGTGCTGTGATGTTTTTTTTTTAAATTTTTTTGAAAAAACACTTTGAATAATTGCTCTGTACTAGATAAATAATCAGTGTTATCATTTCACAGTGTTATCATATCACAAATTCAGATTTACAAATTTGATTTTAATTAAAAAACTTGATCATTTTATTTTTCTCTCCCCCCCCCAGTCCTAGTGGTGAGGACCACACCCAGCCAGCCCCAGGGTCTCCAGTATCAGGCCCCAGGGTTCTCAGCCAGGGAGAGGCACCCACAGCTTACGCTGCTGACAGGCAGCTCAAGTCGGAGATAGAGGCTACATACGTGGTACTGATTGGAGAGAATTTACATTTTGTCTCGTGGTTTTGTGTTCTTTCCTTTGCCACTGTCAGTTTGTTGGTTAAGAGCCCAACTCAGAATTTTGTGGACAGATATATTGATAATATTTTTAGGACATGTCAGAAATGGGGTACTTAAGAATTCATTGGGGGGGGGGGGAGAGGTGTGAGTGTGTGTTTGTGTGTATAGAGAGAGAGAGATTTCTAGATTATTCTGTGTATGAAGCTCGACTATCTGTAACAGGATTAGCTTTCATATGTGATCCTCTTTCTTTTGAATTTTGGCAGCAATTAATGCAGGAGCTGGAGGGGGAAAGAGAGAGGAGATGGAAAGCAGAGCAAGCCACCAAGAAACTCGTTGATCATATTCAGAGCATGCGAACAAAAGGTTAATAGGACTTCTAAGTCAACACAAGCATATTTGAATAATTTGAAATAAATAATAAATAATTTTTTGCACATTGGAATGCCAGGTGCTTTCAATTGTGATTTTTACACTAAATTTGATATTATCGCTACCAGTAAACCTCATTGCCAAGAGGAAGCATATTTTTCTCTTAAAAATGTATTTAGAATTATTTTTGAATTTTGTATTCAATGAAAGTGTGCTAAGAAGATCAGTTATATTGTGAGACAGTGTAAAAAATAATTTCAAAATGTTGATCCACGCACCAGATCAGAGTGAATGCTTTGAATCAATCTCTATATATCTTCTTCCTTAGCCAAAGAAGATCACGATCTCCAAGATGTCGCCATCCAAGCAACCACCAGGTTAAAACAAGCTTTGACCAATGAGAGAGAAGCCAAGCTGCGCCTTAAAGAAGAAGTGGACAGTTTAAAGGTGATTTTTTTTAGAAATTAGACGAGAAGTGTGTAATGGTGCACAGCTTTCAGGTGAAAAGATTGGCTTGACTTGAATGGATGCTTTAAACCTGTGCTTAAGCTCATTCCCAATGTTATGTAATAATATATATAGTGCAATAAGCAGCAAAATATTCATTTATATTGCTATTAATACAGCTTACCAATGCACTGTCTCTAATTGTGCAGTATGAGCAGCTAGTTTGTATGTTGAATGAAGTCTGTCTGGCAGTAGGACATGCATATGATTAAATTTCATAAGTATCAAGGTATATCTTAAGTATAATAAATACAGCTCATTTGTGGTTTGTTTGGATGGTTAAGATCATAAATTGTTATATTTTATGATCAAAAACAAAGTCTGATTTTGATCTCAGAGATCACTTGGGTGTGTCGTTATTTGTAGCACCAAGTGAAAGTGATGACAGAGAAGCTGGAGGCTGCAGAGGAAGGAGAGAATAGACAACACCAGGCATTGAAAGCCATGGAACAAACTGCAGCCAGGGCTGAGACTGAACACATACAGCAGCAGGCACATGAGGTATGCTGAGAATATATATACACGCATGCACGCACGCATGCACACACACCTTCACGTCCCTGATACTGGGTAGCAACTGTGGGTTATCATCTTTGAAAGTCTGTCAAAATATTTTTATGTGTTGGATTACAGTGGGGGTTCTTTCATGTGAAAGGGGAAGGGTTTGTCTTGTTATAAGAATCAATTTTGTGTTTCCATACATTGTGTGTATTTGAAACTTTTTAATTCTTAGCCGAAAATGACACTAAAACAGCGCCTAAATCTGGGACACAGACATAACAGCTGCGCAGTATGGAAAAGAGCTCTCAATAGTATTGTTATGTTTTTTGGTCATCCCTGGGATCAATTATGGCACACACACCAGAGAAAAACAAAAACTGTTCTCTTAACTGGGATAGTTAATAAACAGCACTGTACGTTATTCCTTATATGTCTAGGTAAAGAAAACCCAGGAAGCTCTGGCCAGAGCAGCAGCAGCCAATCGTGAGGTTGATCTCTTGAAGAACTCGGTAAAAACTCTGAAATCTCAAGTCCATTCCTTGCAGGAGTTGGTGGCCAATAGGGAGCAGGAACACAGGTAAGGTATACTCAGTGTAGTTGGTTTATGCCTTTACTTGAGACCAGAGGACTCTTTAACATAAAGTGTATGTTTTTTGGGCCTAAGCCTAGATGACTAAAATCAGAAAGCCGACTACATGAAAGTCGAATTAAGGAACATTCTTTTCAGGCACAAATGGTCAATTGGGAAAGACAGAAAGTGATAAAACTCATTGACAAAGAGATTTGAAAGTATTCGTCAATATTTAAAGAATTAGAAATAGGAAAAGAATTAAAATATCTATTTTGGAGTCATGTATTGTTTTCTTATATGAGTTAGGCATTGCTTGATACACAAAAAAAAAATGCCCCCCCCCCCGACCCACCCATCAGACAAAGGTTTAATATTTTTGTCAAATTTCATTCTCTGCCAGGAAAGTGTTGCAAGGTAAATTTGATCTAAACAGCAAAGAGATGCAGGATGCAATTGCCAGGGAAGTTTCTACAATAAGAGAGCAGCATTCCACCCAATTACAAATACAACAAGAGAAGTGAGTATAAAATAATCTTCGTTTCATCTGTGTGTGCACCTGTGCTTGAGTGCGTGTCAATTTGTTAAAAGAGAGCATATGCTCATATGTACATACTATGTACATACTTGCATATGTACATACTTATGCTTATGTACATACTTGGAGATGACCATGATGATATATGCTTTATTGGTTTTTAGGGGGTTTTGGTTTTTCAGTGAAATGCAAATACTTTTTCTCGACATGTATGTCAAATAATGCATTGCCACCCACTCATAATATACACTTGAGGTATTCTGGCATATATCTCTCAGGTGACAGTGCATATGTCACGCACAGCGTATAATTTTGCAGTTGATATTATATTCTACAGATGTCACTGTGAAGAATTAGCAACTCCTTCATAACATTGTAAATCCAGTAAAAATGTGCGTGTTTGATTGTGCACTTGTGCATGTGTGTTTTCTATCATAAAGGAATAAAGTAAAACGACACATAATAACCAGGCATGAGTTTGATGACATACGCACGCATACACACACACACGCCCGCGCACGTACACACATACACACACACACACACACACACGTATTCATTCATTATATTACATATATTGTGAAGAAATGAAATAAACCAATATTATTATTATTATTATTATTATTATTATTATTATTATTATTATTATTATTATAACACAGGATGGACACACTGATGAAGCAGTACACAGAGCTGGAAGATGAGTTCAGAATGGCTTTGCAGATTGAATCAGACAGATTCAGAGAGGTAAAGACAAAATTACAGGCTGGTGTGACAGAATAAGGAGCTTTATATTATATAATATACATTGAGTTTAGCATGAGGCAACCAGACAAGATGTATGCCAACATTTAGAATTTTACTGATAATGTTATTGTAAGTAGAGCTGTAACCAGTGAAATTATCCTTATTGGAAGTCGAACTTTAAGTATCCGGTAAGGACTTTGACACAGGTCCCCATAAGTTTTGAGTGATGTCCTGTCTGTAACTGAAAGTTTGTATCACTGTAGTTAACATAAGAATTTGACTGCAATTTAATTGAGTGGCAATGCCCATGGTTCTTCTGTAAGTAATAATTGGTCTCTTTCAGTTTAATTTTTTTTTTACTTTAATTAAAATTACATCAGCTTGACTAACTTAGTTTATGTCCCTGCAGCTTCAGGCAGCCTTTCAAAAGAACAGCCGTGAGGCAGCAGAGAACACGCAGGCTTTGTTGGTTGCTCAGAAGAAGGACGAGACACAGACACAAATGATAGCAGATCTTACTGCGGTAACTTGAACAGAAATTGTGACAGACCTTTTGGAAAATAGCGAATTTGTATTCTTACTATACTTCTACCATTATGAACAGTGAGCACTATAAGAATACTGCAATTCATTCGAGTGGATGGGTGAGTGGGGTGGGTGAGAGAGAGAGAGAGAGTGAATGGGTGGGGTGGGTGAGAGAATGAATGGCTGGGGTGGGTGAGAGAGAGTGAATTGGTGGGGTGGGTGAGAGAGAGTGAATTGCCGGGTTGGGTGAGAGAGTGAATGGATGGGGTGGGTGAGAGAGAGTGAATTGGTGGGGTGGGTGAGAGAGTGAATTGGTGGGGTGGGTGAGAGAGAGTGAATTGGTGAGGTGGGTGAGAGAGAGTGAATGGGTGGCTGGGAGAGAGAGTAAGTGGGTGGATGGGTAAGTGGGTAGATGGGGGAAGAAAGTGAGTGAATGGAAGCCAATGATGCAGTTACTACTGGACTTACAGAATTTTTAAAAACTTTCAACCACATATTAAAGTTAATCTCTCCAATTGACATTAAAAGCATTGCTTAATTACAAATATAGAGAAGGTATCTGATATGTTTACTAATATATTGTTTTATTTTCCTCTTCTTACAGTTGGTAAAGGAACAAAAAGGAAGACTGACTGAACTTTCAAAGTCCAGACAGGAGCAGTTACGGGAGCTCAGGGTATGCATGTGGTGCTAGTGATTGGTCATTGGTCTTTCAGTGATCCTTGAACTAAAGAAGATTTTTTTCCTTTCCCTTAAAAATAATGTCAACTTTAAGTTTACTGGTCATTTTTGCAAACAAGTTTTTCCTAATATCTTGATTCCACATGGTACAGAAAACATCCACTGCCATTTCTTTAACAGTTGGTTTAAATGCAAGGAAAAGAATGCTTTTAAAACAGTGGTGAGGATGGGGATTGTATATTTTATGGTGATTAAAACAACTATATTTTCTGTGGTAGGAATTTTTTTACTGTGAAATGATATGTGAGTAATTTCCTCCATCTCCAACCATATCACATAAGTGAGGAGGGGGACTGAATGTTTTATTTTGATAAAGAATATTGTAAAAATATTTCTGTGGTAGCATTTTTTACTGTGAAATGATTTGTGAATAATTTCTCCTCTATTTTCAACCATATCAAACCTGTACAGGAGAGAAACCTTACTCTTGAGGGCCAAGTAGAAGATGCCAGAAAGAAAATGGTTCAACTCGAGCTACTGAAACAGGTAAGTGTGGCTAATGTGTGGACATTTCTGCTTTTATTTTGGTTTTGGTATGTTGGTAAATAAGTTTTTAGCCAGGGAACCCGACTCAAGTTTTTTTGGTTTTTTTTGTGAAACTGGTGCCATGTCATGGTTCACAGGTAAGTTATGGTATGTTGTTTAATATAAGTATGCATTTATTTCTAGGAAAGGACCAAAATGCAATCCCAGCTCCAGGCGCAGGAGTCCGTTATAGAGGGACTGAAAGCAGAACGCAAGCTTTGGGGTCAAGAACTTGCTCAACAGGGGTCAGCACTGGCACAGGACAGGGGGCGGCTGGAGGCCAAGATAGAGGCACTCACGTCAGAAGTCAGCTCTCTGAAGAAACAGTTAGATGTGAGTTTTAGTTGGGGCTTCTTTTATATTTGACTTCAGACTAGGGCTGTATGTCAAGTTTTTACTGTGGAATGAAAAAAATACATTTCCAGTTTTTTATTCATTCAAATTATTGTTTCTATTTTAACCAAAATCATAATTTTTCACTAAATCAGCAATACATTAATGAATTCATAATAATTTGATACTTATTTGTATTTGTTGGACAAATTTAATAATCTGTTACATTTGGCATGAGTGGAGCTTAAGGCTAGTATAGGAAGAAAATCATTCAAACATATTCTTACATAAATTCTAAACTGGGTGAGATATGTCATGTTATGTCATGTCATGTCATGTCTTGTCATGTTATTTCAGAGAGAAGTTGATGCCCTGAAGATAAAATCCAAGATGCTGGACGACCAGACAGAAACAATACGAAAGCTGAAGGATGCTCTGGTGGAGCGGGATGAAGAAATCAAGCGAGCGAGAGACGAAGGACTTAAAATACAGAAAGATCTGGAGTCTCAGCTGACGTCTGAGACTTCAGTGAATCAGGATTTGCAGGTACAAAGATACAATAGACGTGTCTGGCAAAAAAGGAAATGTTATTATTTTGGTCATTAGGATCCTCTCGTTTCCTGGCAGAAAGAGAGAAAGTGGGTGGTTGGATGGGAGAGAGTAAGTAGGTGGGAGAGAAAGTGGTAATGGGTGAATAGTTGAGAGATTCATTGCCAAACAAAAGTAGGCAGCCTTGGACATTATTGAGTATTTCTCCAGACATGCTGAAAACTTGTGAAAACAGACAGATATTCAGATGGGCAGGACCATACCCCCCTCCCCCCCTCCCCCCCCCCCCCATCAATTTTGTTTTCAAGATTATGAGCTGATATACATTATTGATATACATTATTTACTTAAATTTTATTAGATGATACTTTATTCATTGAACAATAAAATTATTTTGTTGTTCATTTTAGTACTTGGTAAACAAACCTGCAATGAAAGAGTTAGGTGCTCAACTTATTCAAGAAAACAAGCATTGTTTAAAATGTGTGATATTTTTATACATGTATATAATTTGAAAGTGACTACCATGTGGCATTCTCTATATAGCAAATCGCCAACTTGAACATTCTAGGAGAAGGTAGATAAGCTGACAGAGAGGAAAGAAGAACTAAAACAGCAGGTGGCTGACTTGACAGATGAATTAGAAGAATCCAAAAAAGCTCACAGGTTTGTAAATCAAAGCTGATTTCAGCAGCTGTTTGTTGCTGGCTGAATTTGATTTTGTATCTGTGATGATGGTTTCTATTTGTGAGCATTGCTGAAATCTAGAAGTGTTGCTGAAACCCGAGTCAAACCCGGCTTCTAGTATTATCGTCATCCTTTATATGGCACATGCATGTGGCACACTTCTGATGATATCTTCTGTCCTGTTAGCAACATTATCATCATCATTATGATTATATATATAGATATGCTGTAGGTGTCTCAAAGTGTCTCAAAGTGATATCATTATGTCTAAATATCCTGCAAATTGGAGTTACTGATCATTTCCAATTCAGACCTTATATATTACAAATGTTAAAACCCATGTCAATACGTGTGCCTGATGCCAATTCTTTCTAATTTGTACAGGAAGGCTAAGTGGGTCGAAATATATGGAGGGCCTTTTCACCTTCATTATAGATTAGAACATGCCACTGTGTTCAAGAACTTTTAAATGGTAATTTATCTATATATTATTATTATTATTATTAAAATCACACAATTATCAAGATTTAAGATCCAGTGAAACCCTGTTCAGTTTTATCAATGGCATCAAAGGGCGATACAGGTCAGACATAAAATCTTGTGACTCTATTCCCTTGACTTTGGAAGATTTGGTGGACAGGTAATGATAAGGGTTTGTTTTTGTAAGAATAAATCATTTACAGAAAGAATGTGTTTCATGTCTAATTTTAAATTATTTAGAAAAAAAAAAACTAAATCTGATTTTATTGCAATCAGTGAGAGTCCCCGCGGAGTTGGATCGATCTGCGTAAACTGATAGTTGCATTGGGAACGTGCCTTAAAACTCATGATTCAAAATTGGCCATGAACATTTTCATCAGATACCGTATTCCCATGACAGCATTAATGCCTTGACAACCAACACTTTTGATATAATTGTTGAATTATCATCAACTTTATACTTTATTACGGATAATAGAGGAAGCACTTGGTAATCAGCGACTGTGTATAATAAGATCCCTGGAAACATTCAGGTAATTCACACTCAATCCATAGTAGTTATACAACTCTTAGTACTTACTAATAGCTTTAAGTTAGTATATAATTGGCATTATTAATTGTATTCTGTATTAAGATATGCAGTGTTGACAGCTGGCAAATGTAAGAGTTTTATCTTTTAGAGCTCAATTCACTAGTTATTATTATTATTATTATTATTATTATTATTATTATTATTTCTTTGCTGGACTCAACAAGGCAGTCCTCAATTTCACAACAAATCTTGGAACAGTTGTATTCAAACAGCGTGCGACTCTATTTGGCAGACAACCATATTTTTGTCTGAAACCAGTATACAGGACCTCACGATTGTCATGCTGCATGCAACTTACACAAGGTCGTGTTAGGACATTAGGTCTTTTAACATTGAATAAAGATCTGATTCGCTGGAATTTTTGGCAGATAGGTCATGTTCAGCAAACATTCACAGTTTTTGTAGAATATCACATTACATCATTTATGTTGCCATGGTTTTATCTCCTGCTTGCGTCACAGGTGGAATGTTTTTTAATTACCAAGGTGCTTTAAGGCTGTCTTCAGATCAGTCAATACAAAAAGGTCATATCTTATGAAAGTACAAGCTTTGCTTCGTAAAAGATAAATGGCCTGGTATAAATTGTTGCTGCACATTTACTTAAAGTTTGTATTTTACCATGCAATGAGGCTCATGGCAAATTTTAAAAAGTCATGTCTTACAAGGTTACTGCAAAGCTTTATATTTCCAGCAACCTTTTTTCCAAAATTAGCAGACATAGGTACTGGCAGACCTGATTATCAGACTTGCAAACAATTTTTTCTCTTAATTTGTCATTTTTGACCTAAAAAAAGGTTTCCCTTAACTAAATAAGCAGTGGGTAGTGGTATAATGGCAAAAAAAAAAAAAAAAAAAAAAAAAAAAAAAAAACTCAAAAAATGATTTTGCATATTTGAGTCACATTTGAGACTTGAACGTTGTACAATTTCATCTCTTTATTTGTCGTTTATGACTCTTAAAAGTTTCTGTTAACTAAATAAGTACTGGGTAGTGGTTTAACGGCAAAAAAATCTCAGAAAATGATTTTGCATATTTGCGCCATGACCAACAGTGTTAATACATAGCAGTAAACAAGCAGTGGTTATTTTTGTGTTACTTTTGTTGCTGTTCTGCTCTTGAATTGCTGTAACAATTTTATGCTTTATTTCAGTATTCTAAATAAACGTTGGAAGGAAAAGTCTGAAGTGATCGGTCAGCTGGAAAAACAAGTTCGGCAGATGAAAGATGTTTGGGAGAACAATGAGAAGAAACTAACTGAAGAGAGGGATAAAGCTATTCAGGGAGCAAGGTAACACTTTACTACTCCATGTAAACATACTTTGAACTCATTCAGGGGTGGATGGAGGCCGTGGAGGACTGTCATGATTTTCTCAATATTACATTGATAGGAATTTAATTTTTCTATCGGAAGACTTTCAAAAATTTTCAAGGTTTTGTTGACGATCTCCTTACTTTGTCTGTGACGGTCTTCCATGACTTTCTAACTGGTGAAAATAGATGGCATGAGACTATGGTCGCCTCTAGTGGTTTAGATCATAGCAAAAGCTGACAGTGTTTCAAATTAACTATCATCAGTTGACAAGCTTACTAATTGCTGATGCAATTAAAATGTCTGTAAGGCCACATTCACATCGAGTTGAGCCATGGCTCTACAAAGCCACGACCTAAATATGGCAGACGTACATGAACGGAAAACTGCCTTATCTTTTAATAGTCTCTCCGCCTCTCACACGCCTCCCCATGTGTCATCCCAATGGAGCCGAGATTTAATGACTGTACCCCTGCAGGGACGATGCATGGGGAGGCGTGTGAGAGGAGGGGAGACTTTTAAAAGATTAGGTTTTCCTTTCATGTACCTCCGCCATATTAAGGTCGTGGCTTTGTAGAGCCATGGCTCAACTCTATGTGAATGCGGCCAAAGTTCACCAGAGGGTATGCAAGAGCTTGTAAACTTGTTAATTAGGCATTGCAATGCTCCCCATACTAGGTAGTGACAGGTAATTCAATCTATCAGTTTCTTGGTAGGCTTTTATATTTTTTTCAATATATCTCTCTGATTTCATGAGGTAGTGTTACTGGTATTTTAAAATGACATTTAATGTTGATATTTAAAACAAGTGAGTTCAAACACAGTTGCGAATTTGAACATTCATGAAGGAGATCCCTCTCAGGGTATCTTGAAACATGCACATGCCCAGGCATTACTTCTGTGGAAGAAAATGTGGTTGAGGAAAAACACCAAAAGAACAGAAATTTAAGAGAAATAAAAGATTGGTAACAAAATAAAGTGTTGTGTGCTTTGAGAATGCATTTATTCGATTCTCAAAGGATATTTCAACTGAAAGATATATAATTTGAAGCCTAAGTTCTGCGTCTTTACGTTTTGCGCCGGCTTTTTAAGGAGGGGGGATTTGTTTATGGTACGTTTGCTTCTTAAAACCTACTGCCACTCAGAGCAGTTGCAATGGAGGCGAAAAAGGCCTATTGCCTATAAAAAAAGAAGAAATGATTCAAACTTTCCAAGCAGAGGCTCTTTCAGCTAGTTTGGGAAAAGGAATTTCCGTGGATCATTTTTGTTAGCAAGGCCATGGCCAGCTGGCCCTGCAGGTCGTCCTACAAAAAGTTGTTCTAATTGGCCAAACGCTCATCACATAAAGATGTCAGTGACTTTTGACAGTGTTGGCAGTGACCATTTTATGATTAGATGATTAGACGAATAACTTTACCCTTAAAAAGTTAATTCTTTGTAATAATACCAGTAAATGTGACGATTTCTGACTGTTAGAAAATATCTCTGGATCTGCCCCTGACATTGCCAGATGACCAAATTGAATTGGTTGTAATAAAGACATCTCAACCAACTGGGATGTCACTGCAGACCATTCCCTGCAACATTTTCACAGTTTTTTATTACTTGTTATAAAGGACTATTCATTGCTAGTGATCTATTATGAAACTTGAGAACTGATTTAAAAGTGATGACTCTCAGAAATGTTTTCCGAGCTGAAGTTTGAATAGACTTTATGGGGATGAATTAAATCATGGTTGATCTCTTTCCTTTTATTGCTTCACCCAAAAATTTTAAAAGCTTTTCACATTTCATTGCTTTTGATCGCTCTCTCTCTCTCTCTCTCTCCTCATATCTCTGATATCTTCTTTTCAGACAGAGTACAGTGTGCTATAGTGTATAATAACTTAATTTCTCCTTCCTCTTTAAAAGAAATAGACTCTCCGGCATGTGTATAATAACTAAATTTCTCATTCCTCTTTAGAAGGAAGAGACTCTCCGGCATAAGCATAAACATATACTTGACCATTTGCTTACTTTTTATCATTTTGTTACATTTCTCTGCACCTACATTTTGTATATGGTTTATGGGAATAAATATTCTTTAATATGTGATCTGTTTATTTCTCCTCCACAGTGCTGCTGTAGAGAGGATGAAGGCCATGGATGATGCTTTCAGGGCACAGCTGGACCAGAAGGAACAGGCACACAGAGAACAGATGGGGAAACTGGAGACAGAGAAACAAGTGGAGCTGGGGCAGGCTCAGCAGAGAGTGAGTTGTTCACTGGCAGGAAAGAACACGACTTTACTTTTCCCTTAGCTGCCTTACAGTCATGAAAAACCACAAGTTAATTCAGGGGCGGATCCAGAGATATTATCTGACAGTCTTCTAACTAATCTTTGTTGATCCATCCATTTTTGACCGTCTTCCGACAGAAAATATTAGATACCCGTCAATGTAAACTTGAAAATCTGACCATCTTCTGAAAGACCCAGAAGACGGCCTCAATCCGTCCCTGTAATTTATCCCTTTTTCTGTTTTTCCTGCAGAATCTTGTTTTGGCCACACTAGCTTAGTCTTGAAAGATCACACTTTTATTTTTACTCTTTCTGTTCTGCAAGGTTGTCTTTCAAACCTCAGTGATGAGATCTTTGTGGGATGAAAAATTGAATCTGTTAATCAGTCAGTTAATTAAATAATTTAATAATCTACTGGGTTAATCTATTATTTATTTATTTATTTATTTATTTATTTATAGGTAATGCAGGTAGAAGAAGAGATGAGACAGCTTCTAAGAGAAACAGAAAACAACAAGAAGATGATGGAAGAAAAGATAAGAAAGATGAGCCAAGTGTTTGGTGATTTACAGAAAGATTTATTATAGTAGTTCAGAAAGTCTGGTGTGTTTTTGACAATTGAATAACAGTTTTTTTATTTCTTAATTTTTTTCCTACAGCAAAATTATACAAAAAGATGAACAATGGAGAGGGTTGAAATTAGCAGGTAATGAAAATTATTTATTAAATAAAAGAAACTTTATAGGGATTGTTAGAGTAGTATTGATGATGATGAGTGTACATTTATTCTGATGAAGGTAGCAGTAAATTCTTGGAAATGAACTTTTATTTATTCACATGTTGATTATTTTCATTAGGAAAAAGATTGCATTTATGAAGCTCCTGCCAGGAGAATTTCTTTAGGGCTCATTTCCACTGAAACTATCGGTCTACGTACATCGATCCAACTTTGCCAGGACTCTCACTGAATGCAATCAGTTGAACAGACATACACACCTCTTCTTGTTTCCAACTTATTTGTATAATCACCAGCTTTTCTGAATTTTATTCAACAACAGGAGCAGGCGTGTTTATATGTTAAACTGATAGTACTCAGCGTGAGTCCCCGCAGAGCTGGATTGATCTGTGTAAACTGATAGTTTCGGTGGGAATGAGGCCTTAAACAACCTCAGACAATTAAATTGATTGGGCTTCAGCTTTTGTGGTTACAACAGTGACTGCTGTGAAAATTGTATTTTACATTAATAAGTGTGATGCCCCTAAAGAGGAGCATTGTCTGCTGTAACAATCCATTTGGAAGAGAAAAATAAATGCTGATTTATTGTATTAAAATATGAAACCCAGGACACTATAGATATTTTTTTTCTTGCAATAAAGATTTATATCTCACAGACTAGTCAACAGTTTGTTGCTACATTGTGATTCATCAGAGGCTAAATTCAATCCTTGATGCTCCTAATCACACCATTTCTGAATGGTATATGTTCTGCTGAATTTGAATTTTTGTAAATCACCTAGGGATTTGATCAGATTCTAATATTTTGGAATGATAACTTAGTCTTGGAATGAACCAGAAGTGTCTTGTCTCATGGAGTGTCACACACATTACACAGTGTATATGAATAAAAGAGGCAAATTTAAACCAAAAAATGCATGAACTTATAAGTTTAAAGGGATAATATCTCTTCGTATGAGATCTATATTTCATAATAAAAACATTGTGAACAACTTATAGAAATATATTATATTCTGTTTTACCACAAAAACAGCAATTATAGCTATTATCCTGATATCTGAGCTTGTCTTTAGACCACGTGACCTCCATTGATGGCTATACTCTGTTATAATCTCTTAAGATTATAACAAAAAAAAAAAAAAAAACTTTTTAGAAAACAAACCAGGGACTAACTTTGAATGTAAAAATGGATTCATTAACAATTGGTAAGTATGGGAAAATTGTTGTTTACTCCAGGAAAATTCATTTTTTGGCCAGAACAAAGAGTTATTATCCCTTTAATTCCTCAAGAATTATTCCTTAAATTCAAAATCTTTTTTTTTCTCTTCTGTATGTTTTTGCCTGTGATAAATNCCCCCCTGACCCCCCTCTAAATCCAACACTGACAAGGTATCTTTCAGTAGAAATTCCAATCAATTTCTAAATTTCCACGCATAAGACATGATATTGCTCTCCCAAGAATGCATTCTAGACCCCCTCAGCATACCTCCTTTAACTCTAGGGGTTATCATAACTAGGGCAGGTAACTTTTCAGAGTTACCTGCCCGGCGGTCTGGCTAGTAATTTCCTTGAATTTCATACACTGATTTTTCTATCGGAAGACTTTCAAAAATTTTCAAGGTTTTGTTGACGATCTCCTTACTTTGTCTGTGACGGTCTTCCATGACTTTCTAACTGGTGAAAATAGATGGCATGAGACTATGATCGCCTCTAGTGGTTTAGATCATAGCAAAAGCTGACAGTGTTTCAAATTAACTATCATCAGTTGACAAGCTTACTAATTGCTGATGCAATTAAAATGTCTGTAAGGCCACATTCACATCGAGTTGAGCCATGGCTCTACAAAGCCACGACCTAAATATGGCGGACGTACATGAACGGAAAACCGCCTAATCTTTTAATAGTCTCTCCGCCTCTCACACGCCTCCCCATGTGTCTCCCAATGGAGCCGAGATTTAATGACTGTACCCCTGCAGGGACGACGCATGGGGAGGCGTGTGAGAGGTGGGGAGACTATTAAAAGATTAGGTTTTCCTTTCATGTACCTCCGCCATATTAAGGTTGTGGCTTTGTAGAGCCATGGCTCAACTCGATGTGAATGCGGCCAAAGTTCACTAGAGGGTATGCAAGAGCTTGTAAACTTGTTAATTAGGCATTGCAATGCTCCCCATACCAGGTAGTGACAGGTAATTCAATCTATCAGTTTCTTGGTAGGCTTTTATATTTTTTTCAATATATCTCTCTGATTTCATGAGGTAGTGTTACTGGTATTTTAAAATGACATTTAATGTTGATATTTAAAACAAATGAATTCAAACACAGTTGAGAATTTGAACATTCATGAAGGAGATCCCTCTCAGGATATCTTGAAACATGCACATGCCCAGGCATTACTTCTGTGAAAGAAAATGTGGTTGAGGAAAAACGCCAAAAGAACAGAAATTTAAGAGAAATAAAAGATTGGTAACAAAATAAAGTGTTGTGTGCTTTGAGAATGCATTTATTTGATTCTCAAAGGATATTTCAACTGAAAGATATATAATTTGAAGCCTAAGTTCTGCGTCTTTACATGTTTTGCACCGGCTTTTTAAGGAGGGGGGATTTGTTTATGGCACGTTTGCTTCTTAAAACCTACTGCCACTCAGAGCAGTGGCAATGGAGGCGAAAAAGGCCTATTGCCTATAAAAAAGAAGAAATGATATGAACTTTCCAAGCAGAGGCTCTTTCAGCTAGTTTGGGAAAAGGAATTTCCGTGGATCATTTTTGTTAGCAATGCCATGGCTAGCTGGCCCTGCAGGTCGTCCTACAAAAAAGTGTTCTAATCGGCCAAACGCTCATCACATAAAGATGTCAGTGACTCTTGTTAGTGTTGGCAGTGACCATTTTATGATTAGATGATTAGATGAATAACTTTACCCTTAAAAAGTTAATTCTTTGTAATAATACCGGTAAATGTGGGGATTTCTGACTGTCAGAAAATATCTCTGGATCTGCCTCTGACATTGCCAGATGACCAAATTGAATTGGTCTCAACCAAGTGGGATGTCACTGCAGACCATTCCCTGCAACATTTTCACAGTTTTTTATTACTTGTTATAAAGCACTATTCATTGCTAGTGATCTATTATGAAACTTGAGAACTGATTTAAAAGTGATGACTCTCAGAAATGTTTTCCGAGCTGAAGTTTGAATAGACTTTATGGGGATGAATTAAATCATGGTTGATCTCTTTGCCTTTTATTGTTTTGCCCAAAAATTTAAAAAGCTTTTCACGTTTCATTGCTTTTGATCTCTCTCTCTCTCTCTCTCTCTCTCTCTCTCTCTCATATCTGTGATATCTTCTTTTCAGACAGAGTACAGTGTGCTATAGTGTATAATAACTTAATTTCTCCTTCCTCTTTAAAAGAGATAGACTCTCCTGCATGTGTATAATAACTAAATTTCTCATTCCTCTTGAGAAGGAAGAGACTCTCCGGCATAAGCATAAACATGCTTGACCATTTGCTTACTTTTTATCATTTTGTTACATTTCTCTGCACCTACATTTTGTATATGGTTTATGGGAATAAATATTCTTTAATATGTGATCTGTTTATTTCTCCTCCACAGTGCTGCTGTAGAGAGGATGAAGACCATGGATGATGCTTTCAGGGCACAGCTGGACCAGAAGGAGCAGGCACACAGAGAACAGATGGAGAAACTGGAAGCAGAGAAACAAGTGGAGCTGGGAGAGGCTCAGCAGAGAGTGAGTGGTTCACTGGCAGGAAAGAACACGACTTTACTTTTCCCTTAGCTGCCTTACAGTCATGAGAACCCACTAGTTAATTTATCCCATTTTCTGTCTTTCCTGCAATATCTGTTTTGGCCACACTAGCTTAGTCTTGAAAGACAACAAATTTATTTGTTCTCTTGCTGTTCTGCAAGGTTGTTTGTCAAACACAGTTATGAATGAAAATTTGTAGTTGATTAATAGTAATTGATGGTTGATCTGTTGATCATTTGGCCAATTATATTATTTTATCATTTATGCAGCATATTTATTTATTTATTTATTTATTTATTTATTTATTTATTTATTTATTTACAGGTAATGCAGGTAGAAGAAGAGATGAGACAGCTTCTAAGAGAAACAGAAAACAACAAGAAGATGATGGAAGAAAAGATAAGGAAGATGAGCCAAGTATTTGGTGATTTACAGAAAGATTTATTATAGTAGTTCAGAGTGTGGTGTTTTTGACAATTGAATAACATAAAAAAAAAAAAAATTCCTACAGCGAAATTGTACAAAAAGATGAACAATGGAGTGGGTTGAAATTAGCAGGTAATGAAAATTATTTATTATTAAAAAAGAAACTTTATAGGGATTGTTAGAGTAGTATTGATGATGAATAGAGTGAATGTTTATTCTTATGAGGGTAGCAGTGATTCTTGGAAATGAACTTTTATTTATTCACATGTTGATTATTTCCATTAGGAAAAAGATTGCATTTATGAAGCTCCTGCCAGGAGAATTTCTTTAGGGTTCAATCCCACTGAAACTATCGATCTACGTACATCGATCCAACTTTGCCAGGACTCTCACTGAATGCAATCAGTTGAACAGATATACACACCTCTTCTTGTTTCCAACTTACTTGCATAATCGCCAGCTTTTCTGAATTTTATTCAACAACAGGAGGAGCGTGTTTATATGTTAAACTGATAGTATTCAGCGTGAGTCCCCGCAGAGCTGGATTGATCTGTGTAAACTGATAGTTTCGGTGGGAATGAGGCCTTTAACAACCTCAGACAATTAAATTGATTGGGCTTCAGCTTTTGTGGTTACAACAGTGACTGCTGTGAAAATTGTATTTTATATTAATAAGTGTGATGCCCCTGAAGAGGAGCATTGTCTGCTGTAACAATCCAGTTGGAATAGAAAAATAAATGCTGATTTATTGTATTGAAGTATAAAAACCAAGGACACATTTGTTTTTTTGCAATAAAGATTTATATCTCACAGAAAAGTCAACAGCTTGTTGCTACATTGTGATTCGTTGGAAGCTAAAATTAATCCATGAAGCTGTCTATCACACCATTTCTGAATGGTATATGTTCTGTTGAATTAGAATTTTTGTAAATCACCTAGGGATTTGATCAGATTTTAATATTTTGGAGTGATAAATCTTGGAAAGAACCAAAGGAGTGTTGTCTCATGGAGTGTCACACACATTATGAATAAAAGAGGCAAATTTAAACCAAAAAATGCATGAACTTATAAGTTTAAAGGGAGAATATATCTTCGTATGAGATCTATATTTCACAATAAAAACATTGTGAACAACTTATAGAAATATATTATATTCTGTTTTACCACAAAAACAGCAATTATAGCTATTATCCTGATATCTGAGCTTGTCTTTAGACCACGTGACCTCCATTGATGGCTATACTCTGTTATAATCTCTTAAGATTATAACAAAAAAAAAAAAAACTTTTTAGAAAACAAACCAGGGACTAACTTTGAATGTAAAAATGGATTCATTAACAATTGGTAAGTATGGGAAAATTGTTGTTTACTCCAGGAAAATTCATTTTTTGGCCAGAACAAAGAGTTATTATCCCTTTAATTCCTCAAGAATTATTCCCTAAATTCAAAATCTTTTTTTTTTTTTTTTTACTTCTGCATGTTTTTGCCTGTGATAAATGTTTTGACTTGATAGCTCTTGTTATATGTACATCTTGGAAGTAAACAGTCATAAGGCATTCAGAGACAGACTTTGTGCTTTTTTTTTTTGTCACAACATAGTCAGCCGGAAAACTGACATTTGAGCCCATGAACCATCAGTGTTAATGCAACAAAATTATGGAACGTAGTGATTTGAGTCCCATTACATAAACATTGAATTTGACATTTAACAGAAGTCCCTGTGACACATGCAGATGAATTGTGTGAAGTAGTGCTGTGTACCCTCCAGCTTTATAATTAAAATTTATTTAGCAATAAATATTAGTAATTTTATAAGTAAAATTTGTTGACTTAAAGGGCACATCTTTGAGCATGGTCCCAGTTTCAAAAAAAAAAAAAAAAAAAAAAAAACTTAAGTCAGTTCCCTGGCTTAGATGTAGTTGACTATGATTTCCATGTGAGTGCTGTAACACTGTTCCTGATAGGGTAAGATGTGCACATGTGACCACGTAACCTTGGTAATTAAGTTCTTAGCCAGGGAAACTGACTTAAGTTTTTTTTTTTTTTTTTTTTTTTTTTTTTTTTGTGTGTGTGTGTGTGTGTGTGTGTGTGAAACCAGGGCCTGGTGTACCCTGAGTGAAAAGGGTTACTAGAAACTTCAAAGGCATGCTGACAAATGGAGGTGAGTTTCCAGGGATCTCGGAAACACGAGGAGAGCTGTGATACTGAGGTGTGATACTGAGAGGAGAATAACAGGAAACCTGACATTAAAAAATTGCAGTTAAGTGTGCATACAGGGGATTACACAGTAAACTGTAAGTGGTTGTATGATAAAGCTCAGGCCCAATCAGAGAATAGAATTTCATGAAATACATTTTGCCCAGTTTTTCTTCTGAGAATTTTTTTCCAGAAGAGGTGCCATTCAATTTGCTGTTACTAGGGGTGGGCAGAGGCCATCTTCTGGGTCTTCTGGAAGGTTAAAATTTTTCAAGTTTACATTGATGGGCAGCTAATTTTTTGTCAGAAGGGGGGCAAAAATGGAGGATCTGTTGACAAATATCATTTGGCAGACTGTCAGAAAATATCGCTGGATCCACCCCTGGTTACTGTTTATTGTTTATTATATTATACCGTACTATCAAAAGAAATTATTTGGACAAAGGTTACCCAACTATTTCATTTCAATTTTTTTTTCTGTACTGATGCATAGATTATCATGGCCTTAGCTTGTATAATACGTACAATATAATCAGCCATTGGTACATTACCCTTCTGTAATTGGTATTTGCATAACCAGAATGTAAATGAACATATATATGAATTATTAATACAAGTGACATTTCTAAAGTTACTTAATTGACTGAATGATTAAGAAATATACAGTGTAGTAATTTCTGACCAGAACGAATGTCATAAATAATAATAATAATAATAACTATTATTATTATTATTATAAAAATATTTAGAGTACAAAATCCAAATTTGTTCAGTAGACTACAATGCAGCACAAATAAAGAAAAAAAAAAGGCTGGTGAAACAAAAGGAGAAATTGATTAAAACAAATGATGTAGAAATTAAAAATGTTACTTTATCACTCTCTTTAAGAAGTCATTCTAAAGATTTTCTTATTTTTTTTAAAGAAAAGTCTTGTATTCTCTTTTAAAAGTAGCCAGAGAGTCTATCCTATATAGTAAAAATGGAAGTAAATTCCATTCCCTGAAAATTTCAGCTTTCCAGATTCTTTCTTGATTCGGCCGTGGAAATGTTTATAGAATTGTTACAGTATTAAATGTAATTAAATCAAAAACAATGTCAGAGATTAAGTAGGGACCGTCACCTTGAAAAGGATCTTGAGATACAATCTTATAATTAATGAAAAATCTGTCTTGGAGCACAGTGATAATCTGGCAGACATGCAAGTTTGTGTGCTATAAAACCATCTTATTCTGTTGTCTTTACATTTTCCCTTTTTCCCCCTATCCATTAAGTTTCCATTATTCCCATTTCGCTTAAGGCAAAAGTTTTATTTATGTTATACAGAAAGGCATGTTGAGTGGTTGCAATGTGAATATGTCAGCACAAAGTATAACTTTTTCCCTGAAACCGTCTTTATGCTACACCTGTGGGTTAATAGCATCACACGAGACATTTTACTTGGATATTTAATAGTGTTAAATCAGGTCAATGGAAAATTATACTGTCCCTGTAGTACACAAACTCTAATCATAATGTAGTAAACATAAAGCTTTATACACAATGATATCTTTAAATTTGAGCCTTGGTTTTCTCACCAGATATAAAATGTCAATGTTTCAGGTCCATTTTATAAGCAATGCTTACGACACAGAAGTAATTAACCTTTGTTTCATTCATATTTATATCTCTATTTTGTATCCATGGGGATCTTTGTGTGGGTGATGCCCACATGTTTCTCCCAGGAATATTTTCATTATTATCTTTCATCATTTATCAGACATAAATGGGCATTGTGATTTCGAAACCACCTGGAGGCAGCCTTGTCACCATGTTCTTGTCATCAGGGATGAAAATTGTCTTCCAGATAGAGAATTTAAACCCCCTACATCCTTTGTGCGACCATGAAACTGGCATTATTGTGGTTGTAGAAAGGAGGCACAAGCATTGCTTTCGTGGCAAAATGAATGCTCAATGATCGACCAGTTATCAGCGCTTTAAGTATTTTTTAAAATCTTAAATGAGGCTGGCTGCACTGCGGAACACCGAAAGGATGCCATCAAGTGAAAAGGGGGCTTTATGTGTCTTTTCGCATACCATAATGTAAATAGTCATAGTTTTTCCTTTGGGAGCGAAATTCGTGGCATGTCAGTCTCATTTTAAAATGCTAGCCTAAGGCTCTATTCCCATAGGTTTTAGATCGATCTATCCCCGCGGGGAGTCTCACTAGATTACTTTCAGATAATCCGACTTAAATGTCCATCCCGCCTACCACAAGCTGTAAGGAGGTAATTAACTTTCGTGTCCGCCCGGCTGACAGCTATTTAGCGTGAACCCCCAGGGAGTTAGGTCGATCTAAAGTAGGTCGATCTAATCTATGGAAATGGGGTGTAAAATATTCCTTGATAAAGCAAGTTGTCATTTCTAATTAATTCATTTTCTTCTTGTCAAGTAAACATGGTAACAAGTGAATGTTTTTATTCATGTTTCCTGCTGGTTGACAACATTTTGTACATCATTATTTTTCCGTTTGTGTGGATTTGATCATTAGTTTCCAAAAAAAAAAAAAAGGTGCTGATAATATTTTGCTGCTAATTGGAAATGAGAAAATATTAAAGGTCACATTATTCTTATCACTGAATACTGAAAAGGCTGCAGTGAAGCCCGTATGAGTTGTTTTTAATGTTTTTTGACATGCAGGTTTTAGGAATTCCATGCCGTGATGTAAATATCATAATCACAGGGGAGTACAACTGCATTGTTCTGATCTTGATTTAGTATTTGATATGGCTGGTATTAGCAAGAACAGTGCCTTTTCGTGGAATTAGGGATTTGTATTGTATTTGTATTACTGTATTGAAATGCAGATATCTTAGTTTTGCTGTAGGAGGTTATGGAACGCAGGCAGACAAATGATTAGCAAAGAGACAATTGATCTGATAAAGGCAGTTGTCCAAAATGAATTCAGATATAATAGTGGGAAGTAGGTTGTTAAGTAGAATTGGGAGAAGATAGCCCAAGAAAAGGCATAAATGAAGGCCAAGCCTCATCCTTTCTAGATGTGATTTTTTTTCTCCACTTAATGTAATTGTTTTTTCTACCATGGAAAACAAGACAAAAATCACAGGAAAGGAGAATTTAAGTGAACTCTATGGATAACATGAATACGTGAACATGAAATGGGAGTCATTTCAATCTTAGAAAAAAATTAATTAGACCAATACCTTCCCATAAAAAGTTTTTTTTTCATTTAATGTAGAGTACAAGTAATACTGTGCTATCATTAATATAATTCTAATAATGGGTAGTCATTTCTTTGTGGACATTGAAGGCAATCACAGTAATACACACTAGGAGGGGAGGCTTTTTGTGTAATTTGTATCAGAGGCGAATCCAGAGATATTTTCTGACAGTCTTCCAAATGATCTTTGTTGATCCATCCTCCATTTTTGACCATCGTCTGACAGAAAATTAGATACCCGTCAAGGTAAACTTGAAAATCTGTCTTCTGGAAGACCCAGAAGACTGCCTCAATCTGCCCTTGTGTATATATAGGAGACATGCTCGTGACAAGTGGCACGTAGTTGACTTTACTGCATGTAGTTTGTCAGTAGTTTGGCAAGTCGATCTACCCAGGTGAATAAGTCAAATGTGTTAATTTTTACTTATAATTTCTCTGGCTTCACTTTCACACTTTAAAAGAATGAATGGGCAAAATCAACATATTCAATGGCCTCATTCACAACAGAGTTGATCTGTGGACTAACAGATCCACAGACCAAATATGGCTGACCCACTTGACATCTAGCCAAGTAATCCCTATTGGGAATCTATTCAGTGTCTATTAGGGGATTATGGGGCAAGCTTTCAAGTGGGTCTGCCATATTTGATCCGCAGACCTGTTGATCTGTGGATCAACTCTGTTGTGAATGCTTTCTATTTTCCACATAGTAAAGTGTGAAGTTTTGGTACTCTAATCTTTAACTAATGGAACCATGTTACATAGACCTGCCTAAAATCCATATACATTGTACCTGTTGACAGCAATTTTAAAAGGGACTAATTTTTTTTTTAAATGGGCCTTTTTTGCCCCTAGTTGATATAGTTTGAAAAATGTCAAATTTTGATTCAAAGAAAACCTTTTCTGACCAAAAGGGCAGTTCTTTCGAATCCCCCCCCCTCCACCTATGGTCTGCTCTCAGGTTATTCATGTCAACAGTGGAATATGTAAATCATAAACACAAGCAAAATCAATAGTTTAAATAACCAGAATAACTGTACACATATTTATGCGTTTTATAAGAGCTCCTACAGAGTAACCATGTGCATATTTTCTAGCAGGTTGTATTTTGATGTTACCAAAGAGACGCTGAGAATATGCTACTTGATATCAATTAAAGGCAATACAGTCTCCCTGGAAAACATGTTATAAATATCAAAACAGTGATAATTGCCTGGATTAAGAAAGTTATTTTGACATACTACATGACCATTAGTGCAATTTGTATTGCTTCTGTATATATGTGCAGTTAAGCCTTAAGGTGAATGCTGATAACAAGTCCCTGATTAAAGACAATGGCCTTTATATTCCCTACTAACAAAAAGCACAGTAAGAATTGTTCTGATTTCAAGAAAAGTCAAGTCCAGCTTCCAGAGTGTTGACCAGCAATGATTATTCCTGCAAACAGCTTCAACCAATATGGGCTAGAAACGAGGCAACACCAAGCATTTTTCAGTCTTCTGCATGGCTGTCAATACTTATTTATTATGTGAAACCCTCCAACGACTGTATTTCAGCTTCAGAGTGTAGCTGGAAACGTAAATTATGGTTCAAATGTAAGGGGAACTGCAATAAAGTATGCAGTTTTCTGTCATGTTAAATTTGAAATGAAACGAAGATGGTCAACAGTGGTTATTTAGAAATCTACTATAAAGGTTCACTTCAAATCAACTGAATATATCATAGTTTCTGTTGCATGTAAAGTGCCACCCACATAGCTCTTATATTTTCGTGACTGAGTTTAGTGTCAAAATCTATGTATTTGTGATCACTGTAAGACACAGACATAACTGAAACCATATCACTGTATCGCAACTTGAAAAATGAAAATGTCCAACCTATTAGCAATGTCATTTAAAAGTCAGAGATTATTTGGAAACCTTAAAAAAACTGTTTTTATCTAAGATTTTTTTTTTTTTTTTTTTTTTGAGTGTGTGTGTGTAAGAGAGCGAGGTAGAAGCCCTGACAATACAAAAATTATTGACAAAAGTATAAATATCCTCAGAAATCATGCTAAAGTCACAGAAGTTCAGTTTTATCATTAGCTCTACATGATTTTCAGTCAATTTCCTTCATGAATGAAAAAACAGAATAAGTCAATCCATTTAAATATTCTTTTAATTTTCTGTGAATAGATTTATAATATTTTCAAATAAATAAATATTTATCTCACATATTGTTTAGATCGATAAAGAGTGCTTTTTAAAAAATCAGAAATATCAATTTCTAGCAACATTCAAATAATCTACAAAATCATAAAGAAAACTTGTTACAAATCCTGTGAATAGATAATATATCATTGTATAATGGGAAATTGGATATCTTACAAAACCTTCAATTAGTGGATACAAAAATGTCAGCCTCGCTATCTGTTTTCTTGTTTCCATCCTACATGAATGTCATCAAATGAGTCCAATTTACTTGTTAATTGTGATTTTTCTCTTAGAAGAGCCGTTATCAATCCTAATGCCTCTGATGACGTGCACTAATTTACTAGACAGGGACCAATTTGCCAACCAAGTAAAATATGAAGGCGGTGATTTCACAATGATGCGATTCAAATGATGACTAAAGCATGGCTTGATATACATCAGCAAATGAAACAAGACAATTTTGCCTTATTCTGGAGTTAGTTGAGACTTTTGAACACATTTGCTTTAAATGGACAATATATATTGAAATGTAATAACAGTAGAGATGAAAAGATTCTGGTTACATTTGGAAATTTGGGTATTGTAGTCACCCTCTCCCCCCCCCTCCAAACCCTTTTATAGAACATCTTCAGAGCTTTTTTAAAAGGTCTACTTTTACCTCCACAAATGTTTCTTAATAAATGTTATATGAGAACTACACCATTGGCAATATTCTTTTAAATTTACTAATTGACATTAACATAAACACAGAAACGCACATTAAGAAACAACACTTTAATACAAAATAATAATAAATAAATAAATAAATAAATAAAAATAAAAGGGGACTATTTATAACAGGAAATTTGGTATAAATATACTGGTATATCTGAAATCAGGAGCCTTTCTGTTTATGGCTGCTACTGGCATTTCATTTTGGGCTCTCCATTTGAACAACAGCATTCTCATTAGTCTGAGGTGATTGAACAGTGCGTCCAACCACGAGCCTCGGGTTCATTCATTTCCCCAAGCATATGATGCCCAACAGTTATCTAGGAATGAGGCAGTTTATTGGAACACGGAGATAAAAAAAAAACTCTGATCATCACCCACACAGACTATTCCTTTACAGTTTATTCGATATAAAACACTCACAGATAAATCACAAATTAAATGCAAGACGGGGAACATCAAGATCAATTTCATAGTCCTATACAGAAATCTCTATTTTTTTAATTCCTGTCACTTTTTTGTGCATTCATTATAAAAATATAGGTTTGGCAATTGAAACCTTGAAATTAATTCTGACAGTCCATTTCTTTTGTTCTCTGAAGTTCTCAACTGACCTATGAAATATGATATACACAGGTAACTCTGAATATTCCCATCGCTGATTATACTATATTCAAACTGACATGGAATGTAACAGTATTCTCCAATCAAATACATCTGACCTTTGTAAAGGCCATTTAAAACAACTGTACGCAAATGAGCTTATATGATCAAAAAAATATATGCAAGTGTGTATCTGCACATGAAGTTCAGTCAATTCAGATTTATAAAATCTGATGACTACCAACCTTTGCAATGTTGAAATAAATAAAAATTAAAACATCACTGTTTTTTTAAAAACTTGTTCTTTTTTTGCACAGCAGGTGGAGCTACTGGTACATGGTGTAGCTCGAGAAATCCCAGTCTTCACTGTACACTGTGCCTTTAAGTTAATGTTCTCATTAGATGTCAAGGAGAGGGGCTTAATAAGTCTTGCCCCCCCCCCCCCCAAACCCCAGGGCCAATGCCCACTCCAATCCTCTTTTCAATTCTTCTCTCTTCCACTTGCATTGTCCCTTTTTTTCCTTTCTTTATAAATAACCTTCATCTAAGGACCCTCCTGCATCAATGATATGTCCTACAGCTTTATGTTATCATTAGGATTGTTTTAGCAAAAAAGAAGCGTGGCGATCAGGCATTATAAATGGATAAGGTATTCACCAACACCACCCACAGATCTTTTAGCACTTATGGCCATATTAACCACATAACCCATAATTTAACCAGCACTACCACTGTGGATGAATGTTAGTGCAAGGTATCGCTTTGTTGGTGCTACATGTGCAACATGTGTCGGTTAATTTGAGAGTTTTGTGGTTAATATGGGTGTGAGTGCTAAAAGATCTGCCAGTAGTGTTAGTAAATGCCAAATCCGTTTATAAGGCCAGGTGATGGTGGTGGAGAGATGCACAAGAGGCTATATCACGCTGGGACGAAAAAGAAATGTTATATAATTTTACCCAAGCATCCCAGAAGCAAACTGCCTTCTACAGACCTACAAGTTTTCCTTTTTCCTTAATGCTATATGAAACATTATATAATTTATAAAAACACAACTGTGCGCACAAAGTGAGCCTGTTTTTCCGCCCGATATTCACACATATTTCTCTTGTTAATTCTCTGTACATTTCTGTACTGTGAGAGAATTTTTTCAAAAAGAAAAAAAAGTCATAATCCAGCCCAGCCCAGGCCTTTAGTTATAAGAGAACACACCCTGTGTCTTCCATGCTAACTGGTAACCCTGAATCCCTATGAATCCACCTGGGCAGGAGTGCTGATCAAAACACTGTGATCCACCAAGTCCGTTGTCATTGGGGCACCGGCCTCTTGAACATCGATGATATTCACGTGGATCGTGCTCCCCTGTATTGAACTATTACAGTCAGCCGCTGGCGTGGCTTCTGTGCTGGCATCTGCGTTACCTCCTTCTGCAGACAGAGATGGGTGGTTTCCCAGGATGCTGGCGACTATGTCGTATGGAGGCGGAGAGGACGGTTCTTCTGTCTCATCGTCTTTACTACAAAGCTGAAATGGAGAAGTATCCTCTACGTCATACATGTAACACTTAATGGGCATATGGAGTATATGTATGCATGTATTTATATACATATATCTATGAGTGTGTGTGTATGCATGTGCATTTAAGTGCATATATGCAAGCATGTGCATGAGGGTCTATTTGTACGTATGTGAGCCGGTGGAGAGATACATTATTTTTTTACATCATCAATTACCACATCCATATTAACAGCATGACATTTGGTTTTTAATAAGGATTTCGTTAGACATTGAACATATAAATCTGTGAAAACACTGCGGTTTCACATTCAGATATGGTAACCCAACTGCAGTCCCTAGAGCAATTACTGCCATCCTGTAGCTTTCTCATTTGTGCCTTAATTAATTATTTTCAATGGAACTGCATATCAGGCGTGTTTCTAGGGATTCGGCTTAAAGAGTTTCCTTAAAATCATGCTTTTCTCTTGTAATGAATTACCATGTAACATATTAATAACAGTAATTATGAACCTATATTGCCTGATGCTTAATGTGCTGCGTGATCATATTGTTCTGTACAATTAAGTACACTGTACCCCCATTTATTCCTGCACATAATACGTATGACTTGACATGGAATATTTGTAACCTGTTTTGCATTAAGGAACATATACGTAACTTTAAATCACTTAAATGTTTTATGATAGAAAGTTTTTTTTTCATGTGGTCACTTTATTTTGTGGTATATAATCACTTTGAAAAAATATGAATGTGTAAATTATGTAAGTGATTTATGGTCAGTTAAAATGGGTAACGAGAGAGAGTGAGAGAGAAATTCCCCAACTAATTTCACAAATGTGGCTTTCTATGTTGAAATTCAAAATGCAAGGGTTGGCGGTTGTCATCTGAAGTAATGCACTTTAAAAAAAAATGAGCATTATCTATTTGATTTAAATATAATGTATTGGGTTTTGGAATAAAAAAAGGGAAAACTGGTGATGTCCTTTTTATGGCACTCCAATTTACCATCACATTACAACTTATTCACATCAAGGCTAATACTTTTGGTCTGTTGCTTAATATGTTAATGAACACGAGTAATTAAATACCCTATTGATGAAAATAGTATTGGGGCTAAGACTACTTCAGTGAACAGAATTAATTAACACTGTCATTCAAAAATAGCACCAATGTGTGAACTCAAGTTGTTTTTTCTGTGATGTGCAACAAATGTAACCAGCAACTGTATGCACTTAGTAAAATAAAGTTATTCAAGTTCTTGGTATAAGAATATAATGTTTTTTGAACGATTGATTAAAACATCATTGCAAGCATATTTATGAAAAACTGAAGATGTCAGGATTTCAGGATTCTTACATTTTCAGTTGATGAGGCAAAATTTCCCAGAAGGGCTTCGTCATAAGTTGGCGGTAGAAAGGAGTTGACATCAAGGGTGACGAACTCTTTCTGTACTCCTGAACTGTTGATCTCCGTACAATGACTACCTAAAGGATAAATCACAAAACATGGTTGATGTATGGCAGAAAATTACTACTGTGAGTTACAGTATTATATTTTTATACACTAGGAATTTAGGGAAAAGATAATGTGCAAAATGTATCATAATAAAATTATACAGCCAAAAACATTGCAACAATATTTACCAAAAAGAAAATAAAAATACCTATAAATACAACACATACAGGCATATTGATCAGAAGATATACAAACACAAAACAGTGTCTGTTTATAAATTAAAAGAGAGTGCTCATTTCATACTTTAATTTGCAAATAATTTCCATGTAACAATAGACTTACTTTCTGATCTCCTGGATTGTCGTGCTCTAACTCTACGATGTCTGCGTTCATCGGCTGAACAGTACTGCTTAAGGCACAGCACGGTGATAATAAAGAGAGGGACTGCTATAAGGCCCAGTACCACAGGGATAACAACTGAGAATATCTTGATGTTTCCTATGGTATCAAAATTAAAGAAAAAAATATGGATAATAAATATATGCATATAAATTATATCTATGTATATAATTGCATTATAAATACAGAAACAAAAAGTGTTTTGTTTGAAGTAAC